GAGGGTTTGACACTTGAGCAGATAGGAGCGTACAGTCTTGAAATTATTATTGTTGTTGTCGTTGTTGTTGAATTCTTCGTAGAACAAGCAAGGTTTGTTGATCCCCCCTTCCGGTGACCATGGTGTTTTTTCAATTGAAGTGCTTCCCCCGGGGCTCGCACCCGTTTTTTTGTATCAGGGAAATTCATTCGGGTCAAAGTATGTTGTCGGTCCCCATATTACAACAACAGCGGCTCCCGCCTAAGGCTGCCTCACAATTTAGCAAGGACCTCCCCTCCCGCCTGCGACTTCCTTGCGTATTTCTCAGGAGCCGCGCTCTCGCCTGGGACTTTCTAGGGTTTATACAGGAATCGCTCTCTCGGCGCTCTGGAGTCGCGCTCTCGCTGGAGACTTGCTTGCATTTTACTCCAGAATCGCACTCTTGCGTTGGAATTCCCCGCAATGTACTCAAGCGCCGCGCTCCTGGCACTCAGGCACCCAGGAGTCGCGCTCACGTTTTAGAACCCCCTCACAGCTAATTTAGGAATCGGGATCTCGCTGCCCTTCGTGGCCCCGTTGTAGCCCTGCGAAGCCCCCTCGCTGCCCTTCGTGGGCTTGTTGCAAAAATATATGGCCCCCTCGGTGCTCTTAGTGGCCCAGTTGCAGCCCTTCGCGGCCCCCTTTATGCCCTTCGTGGCCCCGTTGCAGCCCTTCGTGGCTCCCTCGCTGCCCTTCGTGGCCCCGTTGCAGCCCTTCGTGGCTCCCTCGCTGCCCTTCGTGGCCCCGTTGCAGCCCTTCGTGGCCCCCTCGCTTTGTTTCGTGGCCCCGATGCAGCCCTTCGTGGCCCCCCCCGCTGCCCTTCGTGTCCCGCCTTGCCAGCCGCTTCGTGGCCCCCTCGCTGCCCTTCGTGCCCGTTGCAGCCCTTCGTGGCCCCCTCGCCTGCCCTTGCGGGCCCCGTTGCAAGCCCTTCGTGGCCCCCTCGCTGCCCTTCGTGGCCCCGTTGCAGCCCTTCGTGGCCCCCTCGCTGCCCGTCGTGGCCCCGTTGCAGCCCTTCGTGGCGCCCTCGCTGCCCTTCGGGGCCCTATATATGTATGCCCTTCGTGGCCCCCGCTCGTTGTGGCCCCATATGCATGCGCTTCGTGGCCCCGCTGTCGCCCTTCGTGGCCCCCTTGCTGCCCTTCGCGGCCCCGTTACTGCCCTTACTGGCCCCGTCCTTGCCCTCTGCGGCCCAATAGTTGCATGCCCTTCGTAACCCCCGCTCATTCGCGCCCGTCGTGGCCCCATATGCCAGCGCTTCGTGGCCCCGCTGTCGCCTTTTGTGGCCCCCTCGCTGCCCTTCGTGGCCCCGTTGCTACCCTCAGTGGCCGCGTCGTTGCCTTTGTGGCCCCGCATTATCTGCCCTTCGTGGCCCCCCCTCGTTCGCGCCCTTCGTGGCCCCATACGCATGCCTTTCGTGGCCCCGCTGTCGCCACATGTTCCCTCCTGGCCTCCTGCCCTTCGTGGCCCCGTTGTCGCTCTCGCTCTCGCTCTCGCTCTCGCTTTCGCTCGTCGTCGTCGTCGTCGTCGTCGTCGTGGTGGTCGGTCCCCTGTCCGTCCCTCTTATGGTCGGGTTGCCGCCGATCAGCGTTGCCGCTGGCCAGGCCGACGGTCCGCGGCCGCCCCGCCGCTTGCCGGGGCCCGGCCTGCAGGGAAGAATCATATACCCCCAAAAAGGTGTACGATCGAAGACGGAGAGGGCGGGTATCGATGGTTTGGGTAATTCACGTTGAATTGCACTCGAGCAGACAAGAGCGACACATGATTGTTTGTTGTTGTTGTTGCTGTTTGGATTGGTGTTGGTGTTGGTATTGGTGTTGGTGTTATTGTTGGTGTTATTGTTGTTGTTATTGTTGTTGGTGTTCGTATCCAATTCTAATTTCTACAGAATCGGAGGTTGGGGGATGAGATCGCAGTGGAACGGGGAGCCGCCCACCAGGAAATCGGTTTCGGTTTCGTGTTCGTGTCGTGCGTGCGGGCGAGGCGAAACTCAGTGAGTGGGCATGCGAAGGGAATGACCCCGCTGTCGCTAGGGCGATTCGGATGCAGTGGACCGCCCCTCCGCCCCCTGTGGGCGCGCGGTGGCCCAGGGTGTCCTGCCGTGGTGTCCTGTGATGTCCCGTTGGTGCCCCGTTGGTGTCCCGTCGCCGTTCCGTCGGTAGTGGGCGGGCGGTGGCCGGGGGTGTCCCGCCTTTGTATCGATAGTGAAGTCGATAGTGAGATCGATAATGAGATCGCTAGAATGGGATGGGTCGTGAGATAAAACATGAAATCGACAGTGAGGTTGATCGTGACGTTTGTTGTGAGATCGATAATGGTATCGATGGAGGGATCGACCGTGATATCCATAGTGAGATCGATGGTTATATCGAAAGCGAATTCTATAGTGAGATTTGTCGTATATCGATCGTGATATCTATAGTGAGATCGATCGAGTTCTTCGAACCTGTGAGGTCGATACTGGGATCGATCGAGTGAAATCGAAAGTGCGGACGATAGTGCCAATACATTGAAGCGCAACATTGTCATCATGCGTCGTCGCTAAAACACCCATCGAATTTGCCAGCAGTTGGTTCTTCCCCCCATCCCCCGAACTCCTTATCACCCGAAGGGTGGGCGAAAACGTAATTATTTTTGATCCCCCCTCCCGGGTCCCCCGTTGGTGTGTTCAATTGAAGTGCCCCTCCTGGAGCTCGCACCTGGTTTTTTACAAGGGGTGGGCTTGGGACCCAGACTGTGTTGTCGACCCCCGGTTTACAGCAACAGCAACAACAGCAACAACAACATCGGCTCCCGCCTGATACTTCTTCACAATTTATCCCAAATCTCGCTCTTGCGCAGGACTTCTTCGCAATGTGTCGAAGAAATGCTCTCTCGCGTGGTACGTTCTTGCAACGTATTGAGTCGCCGCGCCTTCGACAGTCAGGAATCACGCTCTCGCGTTGGCCTTTCTCACGATTTACTTGGGAATCGCGCTAGCGTTCGAGACTCCCTTGCGATTCATGCAGAACTCACGCTTCAGCAACCCGCCTGCTCGACCTGGCCACCTGGGCCCGTCGTCCTGACCCGCCTGTTAGGGTCTATCCGCCCGATCTGCCCGTCTGGTTCTACTACTCGTTTTCTGCTCTTAGCCTCCCTCCTGCTAATCTCTCTCTGGCTCCACCTTCTCCCTCCCCGTGTCCTCTCCTCCCATGCGTCCTCTATTCCCCTGTTCTTGGGGCTGGGCCAAGTACACGTTGCAGCTAGGAGAATCTGCCCCCAAGCGGCTACGATCGAAGACGAGGAGGGCGGGTGTGGAGGGTTTGGTATATACGTGTCGAATCGCACGCGAGCAGGTAACAGCGAACCGTCTTAAACCGATTGTTGCTGATGATAATGATGGTGGCAATGATGGTGTTGGCGATGGTGATGGTGGCGACGGTGATGGTTGTAGTTCTGGTGGTTGTGGTGATGATGATGGTCATGAGGATGATTATGGTGATGATGCTGATGATGATGAGGATGATGATGCTGATGCTGATGATGATGACGACGGTGATGATGGTGATGATGATGATGATGACGATGATGATGACGATGATGACGATGATGATGATGATGATGCTGATGATGATGATGATGATGATGATGATGATGATGCTGATGATGATGGTGGTGGTGGTGATGATGCAGAAGACGAGGAGGAGGAAGAGGAGGAGGAGGAGGAGGAGGAGGAGCAGGACGAAAAGGTGAGGCGCGGCGCTTCATATTCAAAGCGATGACCCAAACCCACAGGAGGGTTGGGAACATCTCGCCCTACATCTGTGTGGCATATGGACACATCAAGCTTCAGGGTCATAAGTGGTTGAGTGTCAAGCGAGACACCTGTAGAGAGACACCTGTAGATCCCTACCGACACGCCAGATGGAGAGACGAAGAGGCATTATCCACAAAGAGGATGGATGGGCGGAGGCGGAGCAGGAGGAAGAGGCGGAGGACACGAGGATGAGGAGGAGGAGGAGGAGGAGGAGGAGGAGGAGGAGGCTCCCTTCACTCCTCCACCTTCAAGGGTCACCTTCGCCTTTCTTCCTCCTCGCCCACAGAGGGCCTACGACCAGACGCGGGCGCAGGGCGCCACCACGCTCGTCCTGGCCGCGCTGCGCGACTCCGCGCTCGTGTCCCTGTGCCTGGGCGACAGCGCGATGCTCGTGCTGCGTGCGGGTCAGGTCTTCTGCGGCACGCGCAGCGGGGGACAGGCGACTCGAAGAGGGCGCTGCTTGCTTTCTGGCCTCTGGAGGCTGTTTCTGTGTTTTGGGTCGCAAGGCAGCAGCTCAGGTGAAAGAGACCGCTCCCTGGGAAGGGGGCGAGGGCTCTGGAGACCGCAGGAGCACGTCGGAGGTCTGGGATCGGGGCGGGGCGCGGGGGGCTCGACCTCCACGAGACGAGACCTTCAGAACTCGTTTTTTTTGTTTTTCTGCAAGCCCTCCCTGGGCCTCCTGGGGGCCCCCGTCGCCGCGGCTGCATGCGCCTCGCAATCCTGGCCAGCATGCGCTCGGGGAGGGGTCTGGGGGCCAGCTTGGGGGGAGGACGGGGGGAGCCTGACGCCGCGCCTCCCAGGAGGCTTCCTGCTCTCCCAAGCCGCCCTCCTCAGAGCCTCCCAGGAGTGGGGGGGGAGGGGGAAGGGGGAGGGTGAGAGGAGGCGGAGGCGGAGGAGGAGGCGGAGGAGGAGGAGGAGGCGGAGGAGGAGGAGGAGGAGGAGGAGGAGGAGGAGGAGGCGGAGGAGGAGGAGGAGGGGGCCGATCCCTTCTCGGAGGCTTCTTGCCTCCTCAGAAAGCTGCCTCCTCGCCCCTGGCCCATCCGTCGCGCGCCGCCAGAGGTCACCGGGCGCCTGCGGGTCGTCTTCAAGACGGAGCCCGGGCGCTACGACTCGAGGAGGCCAGTGCAGGTTCAGCGGCTTCAGGGCTTCAGCGACGACCACGCCCGCGCGGTCATCCGCGGCGCCGTCGTCAACACGACCCCAGTGCAGAGCGGCGACCTGCTGGTGCTAGGCAGCGACGGCCTCTTCGACAACCTCGGCGACGAGGAGATCAGGGGCCTCGTTAGGAGGGATAGGCTCAGGGGTCGATGCGTGGACCTCCAGTTGCCAAATCATCGCCGGCATGGGCCCGATAGCAGTGTCTGGGCCCGCGGACTTGCCATCGGGGCCCGATCGCCGATCCGTCGGTGATGCGTCGCCGCTGCCAGGTCGACGACCCTCCCCCCCCGTGAGCCGGCCGCCCCTGTCCTTGTGGAGGACGATCAATGGAGAGGACGCATGTCGCCAAACAATTTCCATATGTCTAGAACATGTGTTAAAACTGTTTGAAACATGTAAAGCACATGCGTTAAACATTTCCAGGGCATTTTTCCCACACTTGAGACACACTTCTAATTCGACGACAGGCCTGTTAGGGTGTCCATTGTCGTGGCATCCACGACCCTGTCCCTGCCCCCCCAGGAGATCCGGGGCACGGTCGAGCAGCACTGCGCGCCCCCGCGCGCGGGCGCGCCGCCGCCGCGCGCGAGCCCGGAGCAGCTGAGGAGCGCCGCCACCGCGCTGGTGGACCTGGCCATCTCGCGGGTGCGGCTGGGCGGCCCGGAGGGCGCCCGCCCGCAGCCGTGGGGCTCGAGCGGCTCGCGGTCACGACAGGGCGGGCCACAACGGGCGCGCGCACTGGCCGTCGCCCGCCGTCGCCGTTGCCGCCGTTGGCGCCGCCGCCGCCGCCGCCGCCGCCGCCGCCGCCGCCGCCGCCGCCGACGACGACGACGACGACGACGACGACGACGACGACGACGACGAGGGGAGTCAACCAGCATGGCCTTTGCAGATCTTTTGCCCTGGGAGGCTCTTTCGGAGGCTTCTTGGGGCCCTTGTGGGGCCCTTTTGGAGGCCAGTTGGGCCCTCTTGGCGATCTTTTGGGACCCTCTTGGGGCTGACTTTGGGCTTTCTTGGGGCCCTCTTCGAGGCCTTGGGGACCCCCCTGGGGGGCATCCTGGAAGCCATCGGTCAAAGGAGGTAGGGTACTCAAGTAAGGTCCAGCCAGTTCGGGTCCGAAAATTAGCATCTTGGGGCGCTCTCGGGGCGCTTTTGGGGCGCTCTTGGGGCCGTCTTGGCGCCATCCTGGACCCGCCTTTCGACTAGGGGATCGACTACAGAATTGATTTACCCCAGAATTTTCTCGTCGAGTCAAACGTAGAATGTTCGTAGATCTACACAGATTCTACGCATCTCTCATGGATTCGACGAGCAAGCCAACTTTGGGGCAAATCAATTATGTAGACGATCCCCTACTCGAGCCGTGGGACCCTCTGGGGCCATCTGGGAGCCTCTTTGGAGGCCTCAGGAGCCCGTCAGAAGCGAAAAGGCGAGGAGGTAGACAACATTCCGGAACACGGCGGTCTTGAGTGAGTTCGGCCTCTTTTGGAGGCCTCCTCGGGGAGGCCCGGAGGGCACTTGCGGCCGTCCCGGGGCGATCTTGAGGGCGCACGAAGGCACACTTGAAGCCGTTTTGAGCCATCCTGGTGCGTACTGCGCGATCTTGGAGGCCATCTTGAGCTCCCTGGGGTCCTCTTACAGACACCTGGGGTCCACGAAGACCCTCTGATATCTCGCGGGGGGGGTCCAGACAGGGGCAAGGGTTGGGAAGGGCAGAAGGGGCTCGCAGAACGAGCTCCTGGGACCACTCGCGCCCAGCGAGCTGGTGGCATTCGGTTGGAGCTGCAGCGGTCGGCGTTTTGGGGGAGCGCGCCGGTTTCGGCCCCAAGCCCTCGCGTTCCCTGCTCTCGCCGCTGCGCACAACGCCGGCGTCGAGTGTGCAGGCCCGCGCGCACACGAACTTTCGGGGGTGGCCAGCAGTGCCCCCTTGGCCAAGGTGCCCCCAGCTTTTCGCTCCATTTTGGAGCCCCTGGGGCCCTCTGGGCCTCGTGATGGGGTCCTCTGGAGGCCGTGGGGGGGTCTCCTTGGACATCCTGGGGGCACCTTGGGCCAGGGACACTTCTAGCAACGGCCGAAGCTTTCTCGGAGGTCCGCTCGGGCTTCTCCGGTTGGCGTCGGGGTCCCTCTCTCCCCGCACCTCTCCCCCGGCCCGCGGAGCGCGCCAGGGACGTGCCAGTGGGGGGTTATGGCGCCGACCCAAGATGTCGGCGCAGGCCTCAAAATTTTACGCTCGTGCCCCGACGAGGAGGAGGATGAGGAGGAGGAAAAGTAGGAGGAGGAGGAGGAGGAGGAGGAGGAGGAGGAGGAGGAGGAGGAGGAGGAGGAGGAGGAGGAGGAGGAGGAGGAGGAGGAGGAGGAGGAGGAGGAGGAGGAAGGACCAGTGGAAGCCCAAAAATCATCAACGATATTGGAATTTGCCCTCTCTCCAAGCTCGCCGTAGGCCCCTACAAGGGTTCATCTCCACTGAGGGAACTGCCTCATTGGAAGACAACTGTTTGAAGGCCCTGAAGCATGCCACAACATCGTTCTCGGGATTCCAACGCCACGGATCAACCTGATTGTTGCGTCCTGACGATCCTGAATCGTGCCAGAACGCCATTCCATGGACTTAAACACCGCTGATCAACGTAACTCTTGCACCCTCATATCTCCAGAATCCTTCCAACATGCAATTTTTGGTACGCTGACCATGGGAATCCGTGAAACTCTTGTTGCGAATTTGGACAAACGGTTGTGCACAGCGCTGTGGCGAGAGCCACATTTTGAAAAGGAACCGCCCTCAATCTGTGAAGCTCTTGCAAAGTCAAAGAACGAACGCGCGCAGCGCTAAGGCGAGAGCTACATTTTGAAAAGGAACCGCCCTCAATCCGTGAAACTTTGTATTTCAACAAAAAACCATATGTGCGCGGCGCTAAGGCGAGAGCGACATTTTGAAAATGACTCGCCCTCAACCCGTGAAATTTTGCAAATTTGCAACGAATGTGCGCGGCGCCAAAGCGAGAGCGACATTTTGAAAACGACTCGCCCTCAATCTGTGAAGCTTTAGCATTTTTTGAAACAAATGTGCCCGGTGCGAAGGCGAGAGCCACATTTTGAAAGCGACCCGCTCTCCATTTGTGAATCTGTTGCCATTTTTAGGCTTCAGGATGATAAATGGTAAGGAAGTCTCAGGCGAAACGCTGGGCGCGCCCCCAAAACAGGCCTTGGGGTGCGACAGGGGGAAGTAATATAGAAGGAAAAGGAATGGAGGAAGAGGAGGAGGAGAAGGAGGAGGAGGAGGAAGAGGAGGAGGAGGAGGAGGAGGAGGAGGAGGATGACCAGTGTAAACTTAAGACTCATCAGCGATGTTGGAATAGACCCTCCCTCCAAGCTCCCTCTTCATAGGCCCCTACACGGGCTCATTTCCGTTGAGGAAAGCGCCCCGTGAGGAGACAACCGTTCGAAGATCCTGAAGCGTGTCAAAACACCATTCTCGGTTTCAACGCCACGAATCAACTGAACTGTTGCGTCTTGGCGATCCTGAATCGTGCCAGGACGCCATTCCTGGGATGTCAAAACCGCGAATCAACGTGAATGTTGCGCCCTGACTGTCCGACATCGTGCCAATATACCGTTTCTGGTACGCTAACCATGGAATCCCGTGAAACTTTGGCAACTGTTTGAGACGATTGTGCGCTGTGCTAAGGCGAGAGCAACATTTTGAATCATACTTTTGCAAATTCTATAAACGTATGTGCGCGGCGCTAAGGCGAGAGCGACATTTTGAAAACGACTCGCCCTCAATCCGTGAAGCTCTAGATTTGTTTTGAAACAAATGTGCGCACTGCTACGGCGAGATCCGCATTTTATGAAGCGACCCACCCTCCATTTGTGAAGCTGTTGCCATTTTTTGAGCTTCAGAAAGATAAATGGTAAGGAAGTCTCAGGCGAAACGCCCGGCCTGCCCTTCCGACTGGCCTCGGGGTGCGATAGGGAGATATTGATAAGCAACAGAAATGGAGGAGGATGAGGAGGAGAAGGAACAATCATAATACGAAAAAACATGAGTAATACCATTAAAATTACTATCAGGAGTAATACGATGAAAAGTAATACGAATAATAAGAACAATACTAATAATACGACTACTCTTACGGATACTATTCAACATTTTGCAAATACGTACATGAAGAAGAAGGATACTAGCAATCACATGAACACGGGTACTAAGAATAATCGGAAGATCCATAATCACATTCGTAATCATGAGAACAACAGTAGTAACACGAATAATAAGATGAATACTTCGCAAAAGGAGGAGGAGGAGGAAAAGGAGGAGGGGAAGTTGGCGGGGGAGGAGGAGGAAATCTTGTCGGTCTTCCAGGTCGGAGGTCCCCGCGAACAACGCCGACGACACGACCGCCCTCGTCGCCGTGGTCGGAGAGGGCGGGGGCCGGCGGCCCGACGGCGACGAGGTCCTGGGGAGCTGCGGCCTCGTGACCAGCAGCAGCCACCGCCTCGGCGCGGCGCCGAGCGCGCCCTGCAGCGCCACGGGCACCCTGCGGCGGTCCTCGGGGCCCGAAGCGCGGCAGGAGTCGGCGGCGGCATCCGAGCCCTGCCCTCGCGGAGGAGCGGTTCGGGCAGCTCTGTGGGCGGCGGGGGCACGGTGGAGACCCACGCCAAGAAGCACCCTGCTTGCCTCCAGGGTGCCCCGGGCTTCTTGGGCCTCGCCGGTTCTGCTGCGGGAAGCGTGACGCTGCCACACCAAAAACCAACGGACGCTCTGGGGTCTCGGGCTTGGGTCTCCTGCGGGAGGTTTCCTGTGGCAGGGCCCCTGCTGTAAGCCAGCAAGGCAAGGCACGCAAGCAAGGCGCCGATGTACGCCCTGGGCGGGCGGCCCTCTAAGAGCTCGGCCAGGGCGCCGCAGCGCCGGAGCTCAGGTTTCGTGGTGCACGACTGCTTCAGGATCCGGAAGGGGGGCGGGGGCGTGGCTCGGAATGCGTCGCGCACGTGGCGAAGTCCGAGCCCTAACCCCCGCCTCTTCGTGAACCCTACCCCCGCCTCTTCCTGGACCCAGGGGAATCGATGGCTGGTGGGGGCAGGGTTCGGACGTCGCCACCTAGTGGTGACTCCGGGGGACTTTTGAGGAGCCTGCAGTCCCTTCTAAGAAGCCCCACTGCAGAAGCGCGAGCTCTCGCGGGTCCGCACGACTTCCTTGGGTCGGCGCTGGGCTGCCTTCCACACAGGAGGCGCCGGGCTGCGCGCTCCGCGCGCGCGGGGTGCTTGAGGGAAGAAGCGCGACGGCCATGGCCAAGGTGTCGCGGGGTCTTGTTGACGCCGATCGTGGTCATGGTCCATGCTGGCCGTCGCCGATTCGCGAGGATGATTCGCGAATCGATGGTGACCGATGTGGACGATGACCAGGATCGGCGCCGACGTTTCCGCCTTTCGTCTTGGTCGTGGTCATCTCTTCCGTCCCCTCCAGGTGTGGGGATGGGGTGTCCAACGCCGACCCCACAAACCCGCGCGGGCCCCCGAAGGCTCATGTTTCTGCTCGGTAGAGGCTTCGGGCTGCGCAGAGACAGCTCCCCCAGGCAGGTCCGGCTGGCCTCAGCACGCTTCCCGTCGGAGCTGCACTGGCGGGGGTCGATGCAGACGGGGTCAGCCCGGGTGCCGGACCTTGCAGGATCCTGCAGGGCCAGGGCTGCATTGACCCGGGCTTGGATGCAGAGTCGTTCACCGGGCGCGTTCCCTTACTCGTAACGCGCCTACTCGCAAACGTCAGGAGAGTTTACGTCTTCCTCTATGCAATGTATCGTAATCCCCCCGTGGGGAACCAGGCCCTTTACGAGGAGTTACTTTGCGCGAGTAGTGGAATGCGCTTTTCCAATCGTGCAGGATCCTGCAGGTTCTTGCAGGATCTTGCAGGATCTTGCAAGACCTCACTGACCCGGGTTTGCATTGGCCCGGGTCAGCACGTCCCCGACCCCGAGTAGTTTGGAGTGGGCCTGTCCCTCCACAGGAGGAGTGTGCAAGAATAGCCAAACGATAGTCTTGGGACGACTTTTGCAAACTGTTTTGTTATGTCATTTGTTTTTGTTGTTGTTTTTTGTTGTTGTTGTTGTTGTTGTTGTTGTTGTTGTTGTTGTTGTTGCTGCGCTGCTGCGCTGCTGCGCTGCTGCTGTTGTTGTTGTTGTTGTTGTTGTTGTTGTTGTTGTTGTTGTTGTTGTTGTTGTTGTTGTTGTTGAATATTATTCCTTCTAAAGAATTATTATTGTTGGGACCCCTGGTGCGCGACCTCTGCGCCGCGCCTAGGCCGCAGCTACATTTTCATCATTTTTTCGCGAAAGCTTCAGAAAAGTGGATTATGCCAGATCCGGTTGTTTTGTTGTAATCCGTTTTCCCTTGCAAAAAACACTATAAAATGAAAATTCTTGTTCTTAGTTGATCAAATTTCCAGAATCCCTTGCAAAAAATAAGGGAAAGTGGACATTCGTGCGCGCAAGACGAAATCCTTCCAAAACCTTAGGTTTCGTAACGATTTTAACATAAAAACATCAACAACCCAATGGTTTTTTAAGAAAAAATTGTCAAAATGTCCTTCCGCGCGCTCTTGCGGATTCATAGGAAACACACCACTTTTTAAACATTTCTGTCAAAAGGGTCTTTGCGTGCTACTTCTTCAGGTGCTTTGAACTTCTCCAACGACGGTTGCGCGCCTGCGAGGGCCACCATCCCTTGCAAAAAATGAGACGAAGTGCACATGCGCGCGGCCGCCGCGCGCGCATGTCGAAATCCTGCCAAACACAATGGGTTTTCAATAATTTCAAGATGCGATGTTCAGAAAACATATGAAAAAGCACTACTTTCTCATCCGAAAAATCTCGAAATCCATTCGCGGTCTCTTGATGAAT